ATATCACAAAACTCTCCTTATCAGAATGTGCCCTGGATCCTCGCTCAGCCCTAGACCAACTTCACATTGGGTTGCGCGGACAAGCAGGATAAAGTGAACCGCCGGATCGTCACTGCGAGTCCCTGGTGCATGTGGTAGCTGTAATTTAGCAGCCTTAATGAGATTGCATTTTCCGAGAAAGAACTCGAGAATTGCCCTCAGGTTTACGGTGGGCTTCTGTACAGAATACTGAAAATTCTTCACACCTTATATTTCCGCCATGGCAGGCCACCTGATGTCCACTCAACGACCATGTACATCCACCCTTCTAAATCATCCTTTCGAGATTGCTCTATCTAAAAATTGAAATAATTTCCGCATTTAGTTGCAATGAGATTTCAGGTACTGAGAAGAACTCAGCAACTCTACTCTGGGTGTTATACAACAAAGAAAGAGGCAGTGAGCATTCACTCCAGCGTCTCGCAAATCAGTTGCAATCCAATATTGAATACCCCCCCCCCTATGAGAAGTCATTCTTCATGCGGGGATTACCGCGAGAGCTCAGGTCAAGCTCTTCCAAAGAGTAGAAGTTGCCTCTAATGTTCCCAACATTTTAGTTACAACAACAATCCTACCTGTTTCATTGCTGCTATTGGAGCATACCTAGTAGTACCGCGAAACGGTGCCACTTCTCGTGGAACCCGCACGTCTTTATCCTATAAAAATTCTCATTAATCGCAAAAAAGCATATGTGTAACAAGGTGTGTAACATCGAAGGTGCGAAGATCGAGGATACGTTTGGCAGCTACCTACGCAACGGTGGAAGCGGCAGCTCCTGAGGTGGACGAGACGGAGTATTCCATCGATGCATTCCCAAGAAGTCTGGCATTGAATTTTTAGCGCTAGAAGTGTTCACGTAGGCGTACCTAGTCACTAGGCAAACATAATGGAACGATATAAGAGAGAATCCACAGTGCCTATAGGTTACCTTCTGTTGTTTGAAGATAGTGCCCGCGTTCAAAAATGACGAATGTGTGGTTCAGATAGTAATAGCATATTAGCAAGTGGCTCAGTAGCGAAGAAAAAAGGAGGGATGAACATGGGAAGTGCCCTATGTAGAGCCCCCATGTCAAACTGAGACGAAATCGATAGGTGTTTTGACCTCCTTAATGAACAGTCAGCCAATATCAAGACCAAGCGAGGAATCCCAATGAAAAACTGGCTTTCTCTTCTCAACGTCCAGATCGAGTTACTGAGAAACACGGTCAGGAGTAAATGGTATAGAAAGCCGAGTAACAAGAACATCCTTGCTCCTTATAACTCGGCGCATCCAATGAGTCTCCTCTGTAGATGGGTCGGTGAAGGGATCGCTCAATATAGCCCGAAGTAGGGCGGTATCCAACGGACTCCCAGAGTCGAAATCAGCACGTAGGGGATATGACGAACACTGTAGAGTCATCGACGGGATATCCTCCGATAGAGGACCATTCAGCTCCCCATTCATATCAGAGGAAGTAAGTCAGGTTATCGAGCGAGTCTGCAGAAATGCAGCTTGCAAGACATCCTTACGTTGATGGAAATACTTCATAACAAGCTTAAACTGCATTCTCGTTCACAATCGCCCTTAAGGTTATTTGTATGATACCGCGTCGTGCATGGTGATCACATGAATTCAGGAGTGGTCTATATAGGATCGGAGTATATGGAAGTCGTCCCCTGGACTACTACTGGTTAAGGAATACTTAGATTTTCTGGAAAAGCACACGTGAAAACTCCGTTGGGTGGTAATCACGTTCGGTGCCACGGGAATGTCGAATTTCAGGTAAATGTGTCCATTCCGCCGCAAGAGCCTGAGACACACGCGCGGAAAACATCAAAAGCGTTTTCGGCCAGGGACCTCAAAGTGAGCGGATTCGGGGTTGAGGTCGAGGGGTGAAGGGGCAGTTCTGACTCGAGGCATGACAGTCTGGGTGGCCACGTCACCGCGGCGGAGATCAAGGTAAGCCAAGTCGTCTTCACCAATCAATACCGTAAGGTGGTTCACCAGTATCCCGAAATGTTCCTCAGTCTTTGTTAAGGCGTTTGAGAAAACAAATCACAATCTGTTTCGGACTCTTTCAGGCTCTGACGAAGGCGAGGAAGCTGAAACTTTGGCCTTAAAAAGAATGCAACAATTTTGGACGACTTAGACAAAATATTCATCCGAACTGAGGTTTTACACGCATAACGGTTTTACACGCTGCGGTCTCACCAGAAAAGGTCAACAGGTCGCCAATGGCCATTCAGGATGGGATGCATATTGGTTGGTGGTGGCCATCTCGCGGACACTGACAATCAAATCTCGGTTTCAGAATTTGCGAAAGCGCATTCTCATGCCTGAGAGTGTAGAGGGGGGGGGGTCAGCCCACCAGTACCGCGCCGAATACTCCTTTCTGCTAGCTCAAATTGAAGTGCGAAAGCGCAGTAGTGATATAAGGAGTCAAGCGCGTAGCTACATAGGATCTTTTCTGCCTTTGTGTTAGCTCAAGTTGAGTGCGACAGGCAGTAGTGATAAGTGGTCGATGGTGTAGTAGATAGGAAATTTGCTTCATAGATGCTAGGTCAGAGGTTCGATTCCTTAGCGTGCTCGGAAATTTGCTTTTTTCCGAAACATATTTCGTGAGTCCAGAAGAACGTCTATTCCGTTATTTTTCTCTAGTCTGCTCTCATTTGCAATAGAAAAAGAGTCAAATGCCGGCACTTCGTCAGTTGTGCTTCAATTTCGAGACTTCTTGAAAAATTAGCTGGTTTTCAGATGGTACATGAATGAGTCAAACTACAGCTACTGAAGAGCACATGTGTGTGCTTTCAGGCCCGTTTTTCTTCGATGGAGAATTAGTTTGGTCACTTTAACATATTAACATGAACCGAATGGGGTGTTCTCCTCCAAAGGACATTTTCAAGCTTCCTAGCTTGGTATTTCGTGCAGATAAAACTCATGTTATGAGTAAGCATCTTGAAGACACATGGTA